GAGTTAGTCAAAATTTACTGAAAACAGGGCCTTCGCTCTAGCGCACACTTGGTCGCTTGAGCGGTGTAGCCTGACTGCAAAAGTACTAGATACTCAATTTTTACGCTCGATGGTCACTCGAGCCAAGTGCTAAATAAAAGTGGGTTCACTCGAGCGCACACTTGGTCACTCGAGCCAACGGCCAAAGTCTACAAAAATACTGGATGCTCTCAATGTTCGTTTGAGCCATGGTTTTTGCTCGAGCGAACTGTGTGAATTTTAGGTTTTCCAGATTTGTGTTTGAAATTCAAAACCAATGCTTTCATGTTCAAAAATTGCATGGTTGGTCTCAAAAAGATTAGAAACACTTTATAAAGCATGTATCTTTGGAAAATATGAAACCATGACCTCAAATTCTCTTTTAATTCTTCAAAACACCATGTTCTTGACATTCATGTAACTAACTCAACCCTTTATCTTTCCAAAACATGTTTATATAAGATGTTGAGTGAAAATCCATGAAGAACCTCAAGAAATAACTCACGTAAGTTCCATACATGTATGAATTTGAAGAAAACCAAGTTCAAAGATGAAGAATTATGTAGGCATGTACACAATTCACTTAAACTCTCCACATTCATGATGATTCATGCTCATTCTTTTCAAATACATGCAAATGATCCCACAAATTAGTGAATTTATCTTCCTACATGGATTAACTTCATGAATTGTAGGTAAAGATCATACCTAGAGCTTAAATTAGGCCTTAGCTAAGCTAATCCTCTTCAATTCCTCTTAAGCCTCTTGAATTCTTTTCCCTCTCTCTCTCTCTACAAATGTTGAACTCTCTCTCTCTCTCTAGCTCTCAAATTTTCAACATGAGGTTGATGTAAAATGAAATCTAAGCATGTTTAACAAATATATATAGGATGATTAGGGCCTCACTAATCACCTATGCTTAAGGCTAATCAAATGAGCTTAAATCTAATCAATTATGATTATTTTATTCTAATTATTTTGATCCGAATCAAATTTTAATCAAACCTACCATATGATTCTAAAAATTCCAACTAGCCTATTGAATTAACCAATTTTGGTTTCTGAATCTGTTTGGGCTTTCAATTTCAAATTCTAAGTCGACAATTAAACAAATAACTCACAAAGAAATAGATAAGTATCAATTAAGCAGAGTTATGCAAAGTATGCCCAATAAAGTATTACGTAAAAATGATACGGAGGTCGGGGTCGTTACAGTCTCCCCCCTCTCCCCTTAAGGAGTTTGGTCCTCCAAACTTAAGTTACCTCCATTCGAGAACAAATATGGGTATTGTTGTTACATTTCTTCCTCTCTTTCCCATGTAGCCTCTTTTTTGTAATTTTCTCTCCATTCTACCTTCACCATTGGGATAGATTTGTTCCTTGGTTGCTTCACTTGCCGATCAAGGATCTATACTGGCCATTCCTTGTATCTCATATCCTCTTTTAAGGCTATTCGATGGTAGTCAATAACATGAAATGGATCTCTAAGATACCCCGTGAAGCATTGATACGTGGAAAACATTGTGCATTTGATCTATTTCCAACAGTAAAGCAATTCGATAAGCAACAGGGCCAAGTCTTTCCAAAATATGAAATGGCCCGATGTAACGTGGAGTCAGCTTCACTTTTTTGCCAAAACGTGTATGTCCTTTCATCGGTGCCACTTGAATGAACACGTGATCTCCCACTTCATATTTCAAATCTCTTCTTCTCTGAGCAGTCATCAGCCTCTGTTAGATGATCTTTATCTTTTTAGTTCTTTATTGTATAAGTTTAGACCCACACAAAGCTCTATCACCAACCTCGGTCTAGCAAATTGGAGACCTACACTTTCTTTTGTACAATGCCTCATAAGGTGCCATGCTGATACTCAAGTGGAAATCATTGTTATAAGAAAACTCCGCAATGGTAGGTAAGTTTCCCAACTACCTTGAAATTCTAAGACACACATATGAAGCATATCTTCCAACGTTCGGATAGTTCTCTCAGTTTGCCCGTCGATTTATGGATGGAAGGTTGTGCTGAATCTCAATTCGGTGCCCATTGCCCAGTGCAAACTTTGCCAAAATCTAGAAACAAATTTATGATCCTTATCTGACACGATAGATATCGGAACCCCGTGTAATCGAATAATCTCATCAATATAAATAGTGGCAAGTCTATAGGCATTAAACGAAGTTTTCACAACAAGAAAATGAGCATATTTTGTCAATCTATCAACAATGACGCAAATAGCATTCATACCTCTAGATGTTTGAGGTAGACCGACAATGAAGTCCATGGTTATATGTTCTCACTTCCATTCTGGAATGTGAAGAGATTGAAGTAAACCTGCAGGTTTTTGATGTTTTACTTGTTGACATTAGAGGCATTTAGAATTGTAGTCTGCGATTTTTCCCTTCATATGTGGCCACCAGTACATTTGTTTCAAGTCTCGGTACATCTTGGTATTCCCCAAATGCATAACAAACATTGACTTGTGAGCTTAATCTAAAATTCTTCTTTTTAACTCTACATCATTTGGAACACAAAGTCTCCCTAGGAATTTCAAAACTTGTTCTTCCATAGTGAATCCCAATTTGGGCTTAGTTCCAAACTCATCACACACTTTCTTCAGAAACTGATCATCTCTCTGTTTCTGTTTAATCTCTTCAATAATCATCGGTTGTGCAGACATTGCATCCAAGACACTGTCTTGCCCATGATATACAACTTCTGTTTTAAGTATGTCTAGATCTTGTAGAATTTCCTTCCGGTTTGTCACTAAGCATTCCAAGGTTCCCGTACTTTTTCTACTCAAAGCATCAGCCACTGTATTAGCTTTACCCGGATGATAATGAATTTCTAGGTCATAATCTTTAATCAATTCAAGCCATCATCTCTATCGTATATTTAGTTCTTTCTGGGTAAAGAAATATTTCAAGCTTCTGTGGTTTGTGTATACTTCACACTTAGCCCCATACAAGTAGTGGCATCAGATTTTCAATACGAATACTACACCAACAAGCCCCAAATCATGTGGTGGGTAGTTCTTTTCATGTGGTTTTAATTGTTGGGATGCGTACATAATTACTTTGCCATTCTGCATTAAAACACAACCCAAACCTCTGTGAGGTGCATCACTGAAAATTACAAACCCTTCTATACCTAATGGTAAGGTGAGGATTAGAGTTGTAGTCAGTCTCATCTACAATTCTTGGAATACGAATTCCCTCCAATCTGTCCACACAAATGGTTCTCCCTTTCGAGTCAATTATGTCAATGGTACAACTATTTTAGAGAAGACTCTAATAAATCTCTTATAGTAACCTGGCAAACTCATAAAACTATGAATTTTTGTTACGTTAGTCGGAGTAGGCCAGTTAACAATCGCCTCAATTTTTTATGGGTCAACATATATCCCTTTTCTATTAATAACATGCCCCAAAAATGTAATTTCATTCAGCCAAAATTCACATTTCTTAAGTTTCCCATACAGTTGTTTCTCCCTGAGTGTTTGCAAAATTATTCTAAGGTGTTGTTCATGTTCTCCTCTACTCTTTGAGTATATCAAAATATCATCAATAATACTACAACAAACTCATCCAAAAATGGTTTAAAGATTTGATTCATTAAGTCCATGAAGGTTGTTGGTGCATTAGTAACTCCGAAGGGCATGACTAAAAATTCATAGTGTCCATACCTGGTCAAGAATACAATTTTCTCTATGTCTTTAGCCTTAACTTTCGACTGATGGTATCCTAAACGCAATTTAGTCTTTGAAAATACCTGAGCCCTCTGTAATTGGTCAAACAAATCATCAATCTGAGGTAAAGGATATTTATTTTTAATTGTTACCTTGTTAAGTTCCCTGTAATCGATACACAGATGGAGGGTTACATCATTCTTCTTTCAAACAATACAAGTGCACCCCACAGTGATGTGCTTGGTCAGATAAACTCTTTATCAAGCAATTCCTGTAATTGTACTTTCAATTATTTTATTTCAGCAGTTGACATACGATATGGAGTTTTGGATATGGGTTGAGTACCAGGCATTACATCAATTACAAATTTAATTTCTCTATCAACTAACTGCCTAGGTAACTCTTCCAGAAACACATTAGAAAAATCTTTCATAGCTGGTATATCATTTAAAGCAACATCTAAAGACTGAATACTCAAAACACTAAACAAATACCTCTAACACCCTTTGTTAATCACTTTACGCACTTTCATAGTAGAAATTAGATATGGTAGGGGAACTACACCTCTCCCCTCAAAATAGAACTTAGATTGTCCTGGCTAGATGCACAATCAATAGTCATATAATATCTGGACAACCAGTCCATATCCAAAATAATATCAAAGTGAGTCATGTCTAGGGGCAACAAATCAACATATATTGTAACATTCTCAAGTAAAATTTCACATGGAGGGTAAAAGTTTAAACATAGCATAGATCCCCCTGACAGTAAAGTCACACATAATATATAGGGAAAATTCAAAGTTTCCAATGGGCTATTCAAGCTAGAAGCAAATTGCATAGAGACAAAAGAGTGGGTAGACCCTGAATCAATCAAAGCATATGCAAACTACCCACAAATAGAGAGTGTACCTGAGACTACAGTTTCTACATTTTGAGTGTCCCCTGATACAAGAGCAAAAACCCTTCCTTGTCTCTAGTTATCCCGTGCTGCAGCCAGAGTTGCATTGGCCCTTATATTTGGCGCTAATGCGGTTGAGCTTGTAGCACCCCAATTGTCACGTTGTCATGATTGCGAACATTTCTTTTCTATGTGTCATCTTTCCACATTGAAAACAAGCCCCGGTGATTCGGTAGCACACACCCCGATGCTTTCTTCCACAGTCCAGACAAATAAGTACTGAATTGCTACTCTGATTTGAACTACTAGAATTTCTTGACTTTGCCTTCTTGGTTGTTGTTGAGGTTGCCCCTTTGTTCACATTCAAATTTTGTCTTTTACCTTTCCACTCATAATTTCAGTTACGGTTAGCCAAGTTTGTCTCTGCCATAAGAACCTTGTCTAAAACATCAATATATTTAGGCAGTTTCAAAACATTAATTCTATCAAGAATTGCATCACGGAGACCTCTCTCAAATTTCCTGGCCTTTTTGTAGTCTGTATCGACCATATATGGTGTGAAGAGTGCTAATTCCGTGAACTGGGCCTCATACTCTGCCACTGATTTGTTCTGCTGGTTTAATTGTTCAAACTCTGTCACTTTTCTGTCCCGAATACGTTGCGGGAAGTACTTCTCGTAGAAGATCTCTAGGAACTGAACCCAATTGATTCCTTTGTTAGTATCTCGTACTAACATCCACCATCTTCTTGCTTTATCTTTGAGTGTAAAGGCAGCTAACAGTACTTTTTGTGTCTTCGTGCATAGAAACACCTCAAACAACTTCTCAATCCCAAATACCCAGGCCTCAGCCTTTTGCAGATCAATTCCCCTGTGAAACAAGGGTGGTTTCATTTTTTTGAACTCTTTGGTGAGGGTAATGGTTCTGTTTTCATTTTGATGGTCCAGTACCGGTGGAACAAGCATTAGAAGTGGGAGTGGTTGTTGCTGTTGCTTCCATTGTTGTTGTTGTCGTAGGCTTTCAGCCATGTCATGCATCATTATTTCCATTGGGTCGAGACGGTTGGAGGTAGACTCATCTAGTTCATCCCCTCTTGTTCTCATCATTATCTATATGAAACTTGTATCATAGTAAATACATTGAATGCACATATATACATATACACATTTTCAACACAAATACCTCATCTTATTATTCAAATGCATATGAATGCAATCCTTAAGTCCTACCAGACACCTTATTGCTCAATGGACTAGAGAGTGAGGTATAACTCGTGCTCTAATACCAAACTGTCAGTCCTCAAACCCACCCATAGAGGTTTAGGCCGTGACCAACCAGTAATCCTAGATTAGCTCTGGCATCAAAGACTAATCTGGTAAATAATAATGATAAGGAGCACTTCGAAAGCAATCCAAAAATATAAACATGTCCAATGAGCAGTGCATACATGAAAAATCATACAAAATTAAAACTTCAAGTCCTCCATAGATGTGCATACAAAAATACATCATAGCATCTTAACACTTATACAAATCATCCATCCATTTCAACTTCCTAAACAAAAAGGAATTAAACAAAGAACAAAATAAACAAAACAAAGTTCCATAGTTCACAAGGTTGACACACTGGGCTCCGCATGAGACGAAGATCACCCTATCACGGAAGCACTCCAAAATGGCTGACAAAAGGGTGGACTCCCGAGGTTGCCCTATGCTTGACACTCCATTTGCTCACCTACATGTATATAGAGGAGAAATAGGTGAGCTAAAGCCTAGTGAATAATACAAGCATAAAGAGGTTAAATAAAAGTGATTACTTGTCGTATCAAAGTTCAAAAATCTTATTCATATGTGATACATCCAACAGTGCACAATGGGACCATTTAGGTCTAACATAGAGACCTATTGGGTCTACATCAAAGATCTTTGTAACAATAAGCCACGGTATTATTGCCCCCGAGCAAGGGGCGTAGACCGTGGTATTGTTACCCCTGGGCGAGAGCCATATAGCATAGGCCATGATATTGTTGCCTCCGAGTGAGGGCTGTAGGCCATGGTATTGGTACCCCCAGGCAAGGGCTATACTAAGGATGCCACAATTATAGTTTGAAAGAGACAATCATTCATTATAACGAAATAACATTTCAAAATAATGAACTTGCAATAAACCAAAACACACTTTAATAACATATCTTTACAAAAGTACTACTCATAGTTTGCGGGCACTGATGGTAGACCTCGGCTAACCACCTATACAAAGCACATAGCACAAAGACACATTGAACACACGTTCGAAACAAGTAACGTATTTTAATTCATTTCCTTTACATGTTTTTCTAGCTTATTCCATGATTACGGATTTTCAAATAAAGCTTAAGAATGCCTAAATGGACATGAGGATACAAATATGTACTTAGGAGAGTTAGTCAAAATTTTCTAAAAATAGGGCATTCGCCCGAGCGCACACTTGATCGCTTGAGCGGTGTAGCCTAACTGCAAAAGTACTGGATGCTCAATTTTTACGCTCAACGGTCACTTGACAGTCGCTCGAGTCAAGTGTTGAATAAAAGCGGGTTCGCTTGAGAGCACACTTGGTTTCTCGAGCCAACGACCAAAGTTTGCAAAAATACTAGATGCCCTCAATGTTCGCTCGGGTCATGGTTTCCTCGCTCGAGCGAACTGTGTGAATTTTGGATTTTCCAAATTTGTGTTTGAAGTTCAAACCAATGCTTTCATGTTCAAAACTTGCATGGTTGGTCTCAAAAAGCTTAGAAACACTTTATAAAACATGTATCTTCAGATTCTCTTTCAATTCTGCAAAACACCATGTTCTTGACATGCATGCAACTAACTCAACTCTTTATCTTTCCAAAACATGTTTATATGAGATATTGAATGCAAATCCATGAAGAACTTCAAGAAATAGCTCAAGTAAGTCCCATGCATGTATGAATTTGAAGAAAACCAAGTTCAAAGATGAAGAATTATGCATGCATGTACACAATTCACTTAAACTCTCCACATTCATGATGATTCATGCTCATTCTTTTCAAATACATGCAAATGATCCTACAAATTAGTGAATTCATCTTCCTACATGGATTAACTTCATGAATTGTAGGTAAAGATCATACCTAGAGCTTAGATTAGGCCTTAGCTAACCTAATCCTCTTGAATTCTTTTCCCTCTCTCTCTCTACAAATGTTGAACTATCTCACTAGCTCTCAAATTTTCAGCACAAGGTTGATGTAAAATGAAGTCTAAGCATGTTTAACAAATATATATAGAGTGATTAACGCCTCACTAATCACCTATGCTTAAGGCTAATCAAGTGGGCTTAAATCTAATCAATTATGATTAAAATATTCTAATTATTTTGACCCGAATCAAATTTTAATCAAACCTACCATATGATTCTAAAAATTCCAACTAGCTTATTGAATTAACCAATTTTGGCTTTTGAATCCGTTTGGGCTTTCAATTTCAAATTCTAAGTTGACAATTAAATAGATAACTCACAAACAAACAAATAAGCATCAATTAAACACATAATTATGCAAAGTATGCCCAATAAAATATTATGTAAAAATGATACGAAAGTCGGGGTCATTACACAATGTTTGTCAAATATTTATACTTATGAATGTGAAAACAAGCAGTTTTTATGAAAATTTAGGCAACATAATCTAGTTAATGAAAGTGCTAGCAAGGAAAAGCTTACTCTACATAAATCACTAACGCATTCGACGTCAACATACCTATGAAGAATGCAGTATTATAGTTGCACAAGTTGTCGTGCAATTGTTTCTATGCAATCAGCATTTATCATGATTTCACAATCGGGGCAACAAGTGAAATTGATAAAAAGTTAAATTAGTAATAAGTTAAAATGATTTTTCAATCGCTAAGAAAGATATTCAAACAGCATAGTTCCATACCCATGCAACCTTATGAAGTAATATACCCAAGGGACCTTTGTCGACTGAACTGCGCGACGCAAGCTAGTAAATGAAAGAGTTGGCAAGGAAAAGCCTACTCTACATAAATCAATAACACATTCGGCATCAGCATACCTATAAAGAATGTAGTATTATAGCTACACAAGTTGTCGTGCCATCGTTGTCCATACAATCGGCGTTTATCATGATTTCGCAATTGGGGCAATAATAAATTGATAGTAAGTTAAATTACTAATAAGTTAAAATAATTTCGCAATCGTAGAGAAATATATTCATACGGCATAGTTCCACACTCATGCAATGTTAAGAAGTTATAAACCCAAAGGACCTTTGCCGATTGAATTGTGCTGATATGCCCCTACCCCGATTGGGGAAGCAAAACTTAAGCAAACGGAAGCCAACGAAGATAGAGTTATTCTAGTAGTTGGCGACACGCATATGGGGGTATGATGATATGACATATCTGGGATGTGGTAGTCTACTAAGTGCTTCGAAAAAGGTATTGATAATGGAGTATATAAAGGGATGTGTGCCTGAACTCTGCCTAATATGGCTTTTATCAAATTTCAAGATAGGAGAGTGAATTGGTTTAGTGAAACCGGAATTAGCTGCTCCCACGAACTCACGTTTTGCGATTGGAGGGAATTTGCAAAGAACGACTGAGGTCCTCTAGAGAAGGCTAGAAGGGTGTTTGTCAATAATAAAGGTGAAGCACTGACAGTCGAAGAAATGGACTAGCCATAGAGGTTTGATGGGAATAGAAGAGGTGAGCAGACGATGATCACCATACCAACCTCACCGAAGCTCTGGACAAAGAGAACCACAGAGCAAATCGCCTAGGGGCAATAGGTGTGACAAAAGGGGAACTAAGATTGCCAGTGTTTTGACATCAACCGAGCCGAGTGGGCTACCTCGGCCCTTGAGTTTTGCAGTCTTTATTAGGAACATGCCAATGATAGAGACGGACACATTAGTCAATGATCCCAATGTTGCTGTTGACTTTGCACGACAAATTTTTCCCGAAGAAGTTCAAAGGTCCTTAACCAATCTAAATGACTACAAAGTTTTTTTGCGAGCCATTCATGGAGCCGTGAGAGGGCTCTACAGTTCATATGAGATCAGCATGCACCTTCATGCCACCCAGGTCGAAATTGAGCAAAAAGATGGCTTAATTCAGAACTTGGAGCGACGATTAGCCGAAGTTGAGAAAACGACCAAAGCAGAAGCCCTATAAGCAAGAGTGGTGAAGGAAAAAGGGACAAGGGTTATGGATTTGGAAACAACCCAAAACAAAGGAGTTCAGTGCCAAGTGGATTGGGCCTTATCTGATATAGAAATGGCACAATTTTTCTGAACGGATCATCACCAAAGCTGAGCTTATAACCTTGGGTTTTTAGAAGGAAAAGTGCTCGGCATGAAAATAACCACCGAGAAGCTTGCTAATGATGTCCTCGATGTGAAAATCATGGCTTCAAGCATGGTTGGACAAAGGCCCTCCAATTGGCAGGTATAAATGTTGAGTCCCTATTGTACAAGGACTTCATAATGCCGTTCGAGGCATATGATGCCAAGAAGACCCATGACGAAGATGAAGGCATAGCTTGATTCTTAGATTCAAATGTGTACATCTAATTACCTGTTCTTTTAGATGTAAACTCATAATGTAATTGCTTTTTATGTCAAGTAATTTGTACTGGTTTTCTTAATGAAATGAATTTAAAGGTTAAATGCGTTGCAAATAATATCTAAAGTTTATGTTTCTCTAAATGCGGAGGCATTTTACTAATGGCGTTCCGTGCCAAGCACAAAGAGTGCTCCAAATTCAGAGACTTTTATCGATGGAGCTCCGTGTCAAGCACGAAGAGTGCTTCGAATTCGGAGACTTTTACTAATGGCACTCCGTGTTAAGCATGGAGAGTGCTTCGAATTCAGAGACTTTTATCGACTTTATGCAGCAATTAATTTGAAATATTGCAAGGATTGTGAGTAATATATCTCATGTCATTGATTGCCTATACAAAGTGATGCAAACTCATTAATTACAAAAAAGTGGAAATCAAAAGCACTTACATTAGTAGTACAATTTACACATATGCGTAGAGTTCCACAACCGGGGTAATTTCTTGCCACTCATTCAAGAGACGGTAT